ACGAGTTCGGCATGTCTACAGCACCGCTCATTGTTCTCGGGTGCACAATGATGCGAAAGTGCCATTTAAATACTTGTCCTGTTGGCATTGCAACTCAGGTAAGCATAGAGACGAAGATCTCGAAGTCATTTTGCATCGTTTAGATGCTTTTGTACTAATATAGTTTTTTCACTATGCGACTCATCGCACGCAGAGACAGGTCGTCACTGCGGACTTCGTTGGCGTCTCTCAGATCAAACGCGCTTTCATTCCTTTAGCCGTCCGCTATCTCTTCCAAATACGTACTCTTTTGATCGGACACAACGGCGTCCGGAGTTTGCGTGCGATGACTTGCCTATATGACTTCGATCATTGTGAAAATTGTGAAAATTCAGCTTATCTGTTCAGGATCCAGTTTTACGAGCAAAATTCGAAGGAAAACCAGAACATGTGGTGAATTTCATGTTTATGGTAGCCGAAGAGGTTCGCTACTTCCTTTCACGACTGGGTCTTCGCACTCTTAATGAAGCGATAGGACGTACAGATTTACTTTATGCGAGTCCGAACCCAGTGAACAAAAAGGTACAGTACTAAGTTTTGATGGTTCTCTAATTTGTACAATACTGCTCACAAAACATGCAAATGTTGCGGATTTCCACAGGAAAAAGAGCGGAACTTCCGCGAAACTCTCCGAAATCGCGACATCCGCATAATTCCGGGAATTATGCGGATGTCGCGCTAACTCCGGAAACTTCGCGGAAAGTCGAGGAAATCTCCGCTCATTTTTTGGAAATCCGTGACACGCACATAAGCACATACGTTTTGTGAGACTTATTTTATGCAAAGCCTTCAGGCAACTTTGCTCGAGTTTGGCACTATTCTGAAGAATGTGCATCACATGTTCCCAAATATTTCAACTAAAAGTGGAATGATCAAACAGGTAGGATTAATGAGGTTGGATCAAATGGTTTCATTGGAGTGATTATAGACTATCGAACCTGGAGAGCTGGAGAAAGAAATCCTCAAGTCGTTGCCGAAAGTTTTTGCTGAACCAGGCTGTCATTTGGAGATTAAAGATAAAACGATCACTAATATTGATCGAGCGTTTTGTGCAAGGATCAGTTACGAGGTGCGTTCCTTTGCCACTGCGTGTTGGCTCACAAATTCCTGAAATATCTTTTAGATTTCAAAACGCTATGGTGAAGAGGGATTGTCTGGCAAAAGGTCGATAAAGATCAATTTGAAAGGATCTGCTGGTCAGTCGTTGTGCGCATTCCTCGCAAAAGGCGTTACCGTTGAGCTGGAAGGCGATGCAAATGACTATGTTGG